AAAAAAAAAAAAAAAAAAAATCATTCATTTAGATATTTTTCCAAAATTTTCTGAGTATAAGCATATTGAAGCAAATGATATTATAATATATAATAATCCGAATCTAATCTTAAATTATATGATAAATAAAAAGAATTTCAGAAAATTCAAATCTAGTCATTATATAATTATTTCTAGATTTTATCGTATAAAATAAATTCCAAATTTAGCGTCCAAAATAAATTCATCTAATCGTAAGATTGGAAATCATGAACGCAAAAATATGAAGAATATATATATTCATTCCAAACAATAATTTCTTGATCTTCCCCTCCTATCTAAATATATTTTTATCCGTAGTTTTGTAGCACGATGCCAAAAATCCATTCGATGACCCCGATCTAGACCTGTTGGGTTTTAGGCCAGAAGAATGGTACAGCTTCTTTCGAAATTGCTTACGATTTTTTTGAGACCCCGCGGACGGAGCTGGCAATCAGGCAGCGAAAGTATATAACTCCTAAGCGCTTCGTGCTCTTGTGTGGAGCGCGCTTTGCCGGTATCACAGCAAAAGCTTTGCCACAGAAAGCAAATTCAAAATTTATGGAATCCGTTTACCTCTTAAACTCTTCTATGAGGAGCCGTAAAGTGCATGCAAGTTTGGCTAAGTTGCCCATCACAAGCATGAGAGCCGCGTGGCTGAGAGTTGTTCCACGCCACAATGCAAAACAAGCGAGGCCCTGCCTCGTCTCTGCAAGCAACACTCTAGAATCCTTAGCTGCAGCATCCCAAAACCTGTCACCGCATCTCTTAGCCCTGTGATGGGTACGGAGGGTGAGACATGTTTGATTGAAGTCCTTTCTTGTAAGCAATCGTTCGGCAGAAGACACCTCAGATTCGATCTGCACCAGGTAAATCCATTCTGTCTGGAACCCATAAATCAAACAAATATTCCCTTGTTGGGACGCGCTTAGAGTTGACTCATGGCCCCAAACGCTTGGAACAACATCCACGTGAAGAATCCGCTTGGTTCTACACTTGATGCGGCACAGGCAGGGAACTAAGCGGGTAGCCTTATAATGTTTCTGCAACCAGTGCTATTAACAAGAAGAATTTTGCAGGGAGAAACTCTCTATTTCATAAAACGGCGGCATGTGACGTGGATGTTCCTGCGAAGCATCATGACACTGGGACAGGCCAGCACGACCGGAGGGGGGGGTTCCCAAAGGTCGACTTCAACGTTCTCTGCGTGTCTTTTTCAGTCAAAGATTGACTTGAGTAAGTGAAAATGAGAAGTTGGCTCTAAAACGACGGCCCAGTCTACCAATCGGCTACCTACGCATGACCACGCGCAGAAGCATGAACCTGGTTGGCAGTGAAGTGTAGAGCTTAACCTGCAGAAACCGTCCTTACTGACCTTAACGTTACGGCGACGCTTTTTAAACATCCGGACACGAAAACAACCGAACAGGTATATTATACTACTTCCGCAAAGCATGGCGTCCGCCCGCCCACGATTAACACATCCGGAATTGAATCTAAACAGGAAAACATCCGGATTTAAATAGATCTTGTATATTGCCTCCACGGCACTTTGGGGTTGGCCGCCCTCCACTTATTCAAAAAATGTCACCGCAAGCTCTCAACACACCTGTAATATGGGGACTAGCATCGACAGGAGTGCGCTCAACCTAAATCCGAAAACCTAAACATCTAGTTAGACCTAAACGAACCTCCAACCCCTTGTTTCCCTGAGACCCTGGCGCAGCCAAATCTCGGTGCTGCACGCCAAACCCCAAACATCGGCGGATGGCCCTAAAGGGATCCTGGCAAAGAAGTGGGTTGAAGCATGGACTCCACACAGACCGCTGCAGCCCCGATGCCATAGAACATTGACAAGACCATACCACGCCTTTGACGCTCTGGACCCAACACTCCCAAGACCCTGAGCCCAAAGTCATCCCTAAAAACCAACAATCTAAAGCCTAAACCCTGATATCAACCCCAACAGGGGCCACAAAACAGCGCTGACGCGACAAGATTCCCCACCTCTGGCTTGGGTAGCTGCCCGTAGATCGCCTCTACGGCGCTGAGCTCCGGGTTGCGGATGCCTCGCTGAGGGTTCAGGTTGATGGCTGAATGAAGGTTTAGAGTTTAGGGCTCAGGCTTTAGGGTTTCTGGCTGGAGGCCCTTTGGATGTTTTAGGGCTTAGCCTTTGGGGTTTAACGCTTAGGGGCTAGGATTGAGGGCTGTCGACTTGAGATCGAGGAGAAAATTGAGAGTTCCTACTGGCTGCAGCAACAAGAGCTGTGATCTGTTTATAACACCGAAACCACCTTTCCAGCCCCCAACTTGTGCGGCACCATCTTCCTTTACAAAAGGACCATGACCGAAACCATGTACCCCAACAAATACGGCGCCCTGGAGCCCGGCCCCCAACGCCACCAATCCTAACGCGTGAAGCCCCTACCTCCTATACCTCCTTGCAGCCGTACATCCTACTTCCTGAATCCTAATCCCTAAAGGGTAGTTCCCACGTTCTTTTCCATTCCCATGTATCCCTACATAACCCGTATATACGAGCCGCTCTAAGAGAGCCTGCAGACTGTCCGCTGTAGCGAAGGATCGCCTGCTGCAGAGATGCATTCTGGGTGGCAGTCCATTCCAGAGACCTGGATTCCAAGGTTCCGAGTGTAGGATCTACGGCTGGGACTCCAATGCTTGTGGGGCGGTAGATTCCGGATAATCACAGAGCTTTTAGAAGCGCTTCTAAGATTACATCATCCCCCCTTTTGTTGCTTCCGGGTTCTCGGTTGAAGGCCTACTGACTTAATGGTCATATGGGCCAGATTTTCAAGGCATAGGGATTTGAGGCACCAAAGAACAATTAAAACGTGTATTCTGGACGGCTGCTGTTTCACTGCGTGCTGCCGAAGCTCCTTCTTGGTTGTGTTTTAATCAAAACGATTAGCTCTACTCGCTTGCATTCACTACGTGTCATCAGAACAATTTTGGATGCAAAAGGACTTAGAAGGTTGCTTTAACTTCTGCGGGGAGTGTTAGTAGTGAATCCAAAGCTGAAGATCAGCCTGCATTTCAAGATACACCCCAAGCCTGTTGCTTGGGGCTTAAAGCTGCCTAAGGCCAAGGCAGGCACCCTAGGCCCTGCAAAAGAGACCCCTCAACCCCACTCAATCTGCACCTTACCTGAAAGCATTACTACTGCAAACGACCTCCAGCTGTTGATCTTAGCGACAAAACCTGATCTTGAATGTCTAGGGCTTCGGGGTCTCATATACCAAGCCCTAGCCATGGACGCCGGAAGAAAATGCGACACCAAATACACCAAGCCAACGATGAAAAATCCTCATAGCCTGACGAGGCAAGCGGCAGAACCAAAGTCCTGCAACGCCTTGGAGAAAGCAACAAAAAGGAACCTCAAACACTACTACCCCTACCCCCCATACCCCAAAGCAGAGCGACTCGATCTCCTCCTGCATCTTGTCAGGGTCAAGTAGGAGAAGCTCCTTGAATTCTGAAGGACTGTACCTACACTACTGCCACCACAGCTTTAAGTGCCCAGTCTCCTTAGAATAAGGATCTGCAACATCGAGATTATCTCAGTGGCTGAAATGCATAGCTTGTGCCTGAACAGTCAAGACTGTTATTGTTCTTGCAGATCTGTTCCTGGCTTCTGGATAAAAAAAAAAAGAGAATGAGCTTGAATGCGCCCAGAGGGTGTGGGCTTCACGGGTGAGTTGTTGAGTTCTGCTACAAACTTAGCAAAGACCAGTTTTAGGGTCTTTCGACCACATTGTACTACTATCTGTTAGAGCAGGGGACTGAGACTTAGAAGGTTTGGGTTTGCGATTCCGACAAAAAAAACAAAGGTTTGAGCTCTGGGCATGCTCTGGGGCACCTGGGGTTGCTACTTTCGACCATCCCTTGAGCGAAGAAGCTTGTGCTTGCTGAGTTCAACGGCTGAGTGGCTGTTGCAATCCAACGAGAAGCCTAAGCGCTTTTATCACAGGACACTTTATGCAAACACCCCCAGAGTAGCAGCCGGATTTCAGGTTAGACGAGAGCTACACAAGACGTATACTCCAAGATCGGAGAAATACCAGCTTGCTACGATTGCCTGCACCACGGTCCCGCACACGTTGAGGGGCGAGGTGTCGCGGCAGGGGCTTACTTTGATAAGGAAATTCGATGCGGGTCCTGGGGCAGCAACAAGGAACCCAAAGGGAACGGATCCCCGGATGATTGAAACTCATCTAATCCACTAACACTTGAACGGAGCCCTGGGACAAAGCAAGTCTATGCAGTCTCTGCTATGTACTCAAATCCAACACAGTGAGCTTGCCATAAAGCAACCCCGATGCCGCTTCGCCGTACAAGGTGCAAGACCCTAAACACAACACCCGCCTGGCCCAAAGAACCCTTCTCACCCATCCCACACTTGCAAAGCCCACGAAGCCTCACGGAGCTGGGCAGCTGTACAAGAAGCACCCCCAAAAAATCATCTGGAAAGCCATATCTAGCCAACATAAGTTCCACAACAACCGCAACACTATCTCAAGGCGCGGGAACCTTGCACGGCCATCTCCAGCCCCAGGAGGCTGTGTCAAGCTCGAATAACATCAAGAAAAAAAAGATCCAAACTGCCAGAAAGCCCCAATCACCTGTGCAAAGCTTTGCTGAACTGCTAAACAGCCGCAAAATATGAAGTCCTAGAAAAGGCAATAACTCTATAAAGCTCCCGAAGTCTTGCGCTAGGGCTGTTCCCGTGCAGTCCTGGGCCTTCTCCTGGATCTTCATATTCTCGCTCCTTGGATGCACGACTAAATGCGAATTTGCAAGCATGCGACAACCACCAATTTTGACTATTGCTAATGATCCGAACAACCCTTAAATGCATACGAGCAGTTAAGTTTCAAGCACCTAACCTCAGGCTTGGAAGCACTGTACGACGAGTTGCGGCCTGCCCAGCAGCGCAGCGCCGCAGGTCTCAGCAGGAGTCAAGCGGTAGAGTTTTAAAGATATGCACTCAGGGGTCCGAGGGATGTTGGTATAGGCCTATAGGCTTTGGGAACACCAGCTTTGAGGGTTTGAGGATGTAATTGAGGTTTGCACGGCTTGCAATTTAGGATATCGCGCTTCATTATTGTAGGCAGATACAGGCGATAGTGTAAAGGCCTCGTGTGCTTGCATTTACATTTCCGTGTGCCAGTTCGGAATTTAAGTTTTTCTCAGCTTGAGGCATGTTAAGTTGCAGCGTCAGCGCAACATAGTATACCATGTGGGCGTATGTATATATATATATATATTATATAAATATCTTCAGACATAGACACATGCACCTGGATTGTGGGATGCGCAGCCCTACTTGCGAAATCGGAAAATTGCACAACACGTTGGTATCAAGTCACATTGCGCTCCGTGAAGGTCTTCCACACATCTCTGACCGGGGACTGTTCAAGGTCTCTGTTTGACCCAAGCGCTGACTCGTTCATCCCAAGTTGTGAAGTGGGAAAGCTGCAAAGGACATTGACAGTCAGTCATCAGAGAGTAAGTTAGCAAGAAGGAGCAAAAGCAGAGTACGTTGAGCAATTGGTCCCTCAAGCCTTTGCCCCCTCAAACCGAAACACAAACCCCGAGCCACGTGAAGCAAAGGAGGCGGCACACCGGCTAAGCTTTCGTAGTCACGTAGCTGCCTTACAATATACACCCTATAATCCCTATATAACCCATTATAGTAGTTTCCATTTTCTTTTTCATTATCCCAATATAACCCCAACGTACTATATAACTACATAACCCGCGCCTTGCTGAAGTAGCCCAGCACTCGCTCGAAGCAAAGTTGGCCCTGGGCCTGGCAGTGCAGGACAGCTGACCGCCTTATATGAGCCATAATCAAAACTCCTTATAGGGGGGTTATATAGGGGTTATATAGGGTTATTTAGGGATTATAGGGATAATGGAAAAGAAAATGGAAGCTACTATGGGACTATTTAGGGTTTAGGGTTTTGGGTCTAAACTCCTTAAAGGGGGGTTATATAGGGGATATTAGGGGATTATATAGGGGACTACTGTAGGGGTTATTAAGGGGGATACTATATAGCTCATATGCAAGATTGTTTCCAGGAAGTCCGGAGCCTTTTTGCCCCGGAGAACTCCAGAACAAAGACAAACTATAGGCACCAATAATGTGGAGAAACCACGACTCTGGCGTCAGATACATATGTTTGTGCCCCACGGCATGCTGTAGGAGTAGGAAGGGGGAGGAATAGGACTGCAGGGAGATGCAAACATCACAACTCCTACCAATACAAGAGAGGCTGCTGCTCATGCTGCAACTGCTGCTAGTCGCCCTATGGCTTTCAAAGTCGTAGCTGGCGGCATCTTCAGCCGCGGCCGTAGCTGTACCAGTAGCAGATAGGCATAGAAAGCAGCAGGAATCGTAGTGTGGTGGTAGTCGTGGTAGTGGTGGCAGCACTAGCAGCCCAAAAAGCCAATGCTCCCAACTAAACTTCAGAAGAATCCGATTCTCTGGGCTCTCCGAACCTCCAAACCCTCACCTCTAAATCCCAAGCCCAGAAAGCTTTCCGCCACCTGGGCTGAGCGGTTGCACTTTTTCGGCCAGCAGCGGAAGACGTACAGACTGGGACGAGGATCTTGCCGGGGTGGTTGCAGTTTGGGGGTTGAGTTGTCGGGGTTGCATGGCTTGAGCTGTTGGGGATTCGGCAAGAGTACTCTCAAGGGCCAAAGGGACCTCAGTTTCAAAAAGCCCTCTCTTTGCTCTGGCGGGCTCGATACAACGGCAAGTAAATGACAAGCCCTAAGCCTCATTGCCCTGAGAGGTCTGGGGCTGAACGCTTGTCATCACGCACAAAGACTCAATAGACCAAATTGACGATAGAATGGAGACTTCATGGCCTGAACCTCGATCTGTGACAGTCCTACCTGCACGGGGGATTAGAGCGTGAGGTCCTAGGGACGTTCTACTAGATATAACTTGCAATAGACTGTTGCAAGTTCTCATGCTACAATCTAGACTTGAAACTGTTACAATAAATGGCTTGGGCACAGGCTTTTCTCCGTGTCCGCAGATGTCACACCTCAGGGATTGCAGCTTGCAGGGATTTGCTATGGAGCTCTACTGTAAATGCCTTTTTGTCAAGTCACTTTGGGTCTACCAGTGTCAGGGGTTGCCTGGTGCCCGGCCTCAGGGAGACCCTACCTACGCCAGTCCTTTGGAGATGGCTTTGAACATATTCTCCTCGCTGACTGCCATTTTGTCAGCATACGTGAACCATGCTTCTGCTGCTAGCCGTGATGTTCCGTGACTTTTGAAGACCGCGTGGGTGCTGTGACCACCTGTTCACAAGCTGTTGTTCTGCTGCATGAGGTTTGCAGCTGTACTGTTGTGTCCCCGATTAGACGCTGAAACTAACACCTGCTTGAATGCACACATTTTCCAATTTTCAAGGCCTAGGAACAGTTCCAGCTGACGGCTCAGCGCGTATTTCACCCCGAGGAACCCCACAACTGTCAATACCCAGTTACCGCAAAAAAAGCTGCAGAAGCCGACAGAAAATCGTGGGAACTGCTACCCAACTCCCGCTCAACATCCAAGTGAAAGGCCCATCGAATCACCTAGCATGAGCCGTTCAGCACCTTCAACAGCCTTCGAGTAACATTAACATCGAACCCCTCGCATGTGTGCCTGTTGTCACTGTATGGTGGGCATGGCTTCATGTGGTCCGGGTTCACTGTGTACTTGCCCTGGCAGTGGCGTTCAAAGTGTAGGATCGCGCCCGTACCAGTTCAGTTCAGTTCAATACTTCAGTACTTCAGTGCTAGTGGCTCAAGGACTCAAGCACTGAGCTATAGCAGGGGCACAAGGTAAATCTGCAAAGAAGTCATCGCAGTACCGGCGTAGGGAACTGTCTAGTTTGCAGGAGTTGATGAGTGTGACAGCCGCGCAAGCTAGAGTTTTAAATCTTTTCAAAGGTATGGGCTGAAGTCGTTGGGGTTCGCGATTTGGGATAGGTTCAGGGTTCAGGCTTGCGTTGGAAGATGTGACTAAGTAGAAGCCCGAAACCCTAGGATCCAAAGCTTTGGGAATTGCAGCTTCCAGTAGTGAACGAAGCCTTTAGCGTCAAAATCGCACCGTACTTACGATTTGCTAGTAGCTGCACGTCTACACTGATTCAGAGTAGGTAGCAGCTCTGCGGAGCCTAGATTTACCTACACTTGGGTTCAAAGAGAAGCTATTGAGGAGTTCGACCGGCCCTGAGCCTATTTACAACCCGAACCTGCTGAGACTAGAACTGTATAACAAGATTGGCCCGTAGTCACGCGTCGTCCTGTTGATTAGCTTGGGGAGTGATGCCGGCAACAGAAGTGCCTTCATGCGCAGTCGATGACACCTGGTGCAAAGACATCGGCTGCTAAATTGCAATCGGGACATTGGCTCGCTGGGGCTGCTTTCCGCGCAATGCGCCCTTCTAGCTCAGGTAGCCCCTGGCCGCTACGGCAGCTAGCGTAGTGCGAAAATACCCAACTGAAGCGAAGCCTCTGAGACATCCATGACTGGAGATTGCCAACAGTTTCAGGCACAAATGCTTCTCCAAGCCACCTCTTGACCCCAACTCCGGAACCCAACCCTCAAAACCTTAAACTGAAAATTGAAGCGGCTAGCTTAAGCAACATCTCTTGACAACAACACCTGAAAACATTCTGTTAAAGCCTTCCACTCGCAACCCGAGATCCTGCAATGTGCTATTCACCCCAAATCCGGCCCTCTGCCCTTGAGGCGCACCGGATGTATGCTTTCGGCCACCCAGTTGTACAGAGGGCCTCGGTAGGGGACGGTGTGGGTGGTCTGGCCAGAGTGAGAGTTTAGGTCTTCGGCATTGAAGGCACGGATCGATAAATTCAAGCCGAGGTCTTTTTGTGCTGGATCATCGCTGGGCTTGGAGGACACATTTGGAATATTCTGGAATGCATGTTGCATTGGTCGAGGGTCCCTCTCCGTAGTTTCAGCTGGGGCTTTCGGGACTTTCCTGAACTTATGTGGTTGTGGCGTGCCTTAACTCGATACCACCTTTAACCCCAAACCTTGATTACACACCAAGACGACACCCCACACCCAGAGATCCGCAATGCTTTACTACCTGAGCTTCAATCCGTCTGGGCGCAGGACCCCTCAAATCTGAAAGCACCTGCTATATGTCCACACTCAACTTGAAAGTCCGGTCAGATAAAGCATCAGGAAGCTCATGCTTATCAGCCAAGACAATATAGATCTGCCTATACACAAATAAAAGCGCTGCCATGGTGAAAAAAATCGGAAACACTTCAGACTCCCTGGCGACACCTGCACAAAATCGAGCCTTTTAAGAAGGAATATCAAATGGCGCTCCCACCCCCCCCTCGCCATCCATCAACTGCCTGGCCAGAGATGACATTGAAGATTGCATGGGGGAGGGGGACACCAGGTGAAATAGCTGCCAACAACACAGTTGACATGGGTACAGATGCAGTAGCACAGCACACTAGCATATACGCTCGCTGAAAAAATATTACATACGCGCTGCCAAAATCTCCGGGCCCGTGACGCTTGTCTTTGTGAAGCGGTGAGCCGGCAAACTCATCATTTCTTCGGATCTGGAAGGTTTCGCGTACTGTTACTGTCAGGTTTTCTGGCGGTGTATATGGGGGGCGGTAGAAAATGGATAAGATCCTTTTCCAAGCTGCTCAGTTTAAAGTCGGACGGAACAATTCTCTGCTTGTGGCATCGTACGTTTCAGGGTGTAGTGCTCGCATCTTAAGGGTAACACGACTTGGAATTTCAACTGCAAGGCGGCATTTGGCTTACTTAAGTAAATATACGATGCCATGGCTCAAACCTGGAGACCTTTCGATACCTGATGTTCCGTCAACTCACGGTTAGCGCATATTCAGTCACGTCAGTCCCAAGCCGCTAGGATCTGTCAGTATTTGAGGTGTCATGTTGGGAAGGCTGGGCCCAGGCCTGAGGTTCTAGCATTCAGAAAACCCTCTGGCTGGTGACTCAAGCACCTCAAAAAACTTCAGCTTGGCTGCCAGAAGGAGGGTCCGTGCGCAAATCAGTGGCATGGCCTTTGCTCGTACAGGCTCCAGGAGAAGTGGGAATTGCCAATAGAGGAAATTCTGAGTAGGTGGTGTAGCCCCACATGTATCGGGGCTTTCTAGTTGCGCTTCCCGACGGCCTCACACATCCAGTAATCCCCATACAATTGAAAACCAAACCTGGGAAGGTCTCGTCACCTCCTTGCTCTGTCTGGACTTGCACAGCTGGTCAATCTCAAGATCCTGGCCCAGGACTTGGGACTTGAGAATTTGCCGGTTACGGAGTAAAGTGTTTCCTCCAGCAAAAGGGAGGGGCTCTATTGATGGATGGCTTAGGGCTGTTACAGCTTAGGCCCTCGCAAAGGACGAATGAACTAGGATGAAGGGCGGGCTTGAAACAATCTGGGACTTGTGTATCCATGGTTCCTGCGGTGCTACACTCACAAGCTCAAACTCATGCATGATGTTGAGGTCCAAAATAGCTCAATTGCCAGTCATACTTGCCCCATAGGCACTCCAACTCACAAAACCGCGCAAATCCTATAAGCCTAGAGCCAAATCCTAAACCTAAACTGCACATTGCAGTTCACCTCGAATTCCAAACCCTGACCCTAAGCCGCTACAGCAACGCACTCGAAAGCACCCTGCGGCCTGCTTCAGCGTCACATCACAGCAAACCCAAACTGCAAGCCCCAAAGCATAAACGCTACCCCCAAACCCTCATCGAAGCTGAAAGGCAGCCGCCTCTGGCTCATTGCCCTCCGGTTGCAGACAGATTCGGTCCACAGGGATCATGGGCTTAAGTGATTCTAGTAGCTATATGGGGAGATGTACATATGGTTGAGGACTCAAGGTTTAGGGCAGTTTCCATAAGTTGGGGTTCGGTGTCGTAGCGCGGACAGTACTATTTTGGGGGCATATAAGAATCTAAGGGGAATCCTACTTTGGAAGCCCCAGCGGACTGGGATGTAGTGTTCGAGCTCGGAAGGTTAGGGCTGGCAGAACTGCTGCTAGGTCTTTTATAGGGGACTAATGAACTAGGGGGGTTCTCAGCAGTTGCACGGGGCCCACAACCGCGTGTTAAGTCAAAATTTTGTGACACGCCTGCAACTACTCCTGAGCTTCGCAGTTGACTTGTGTTGAGATGGAAGGGTGTAGCTTTCGAGGTCTTGCCCCAGTGACAGCAACAACTGTAAACCCTCGAGGTTACTTGATGTCTCTGTGTGGGGAGGATTGAAGTGGCCTATGGTGGCTTTTACTGTAGCCCAGCATCCGGCAGCAACGACACTTTCCGAAGCAACGATCGCCAGAAAAACGAACTGCCGCAAGGTCCCACTACAGTCCGACTGTAGACCATGAAAGCCTACAGTCTGCAACCTTGCACTTGCCAGGCACCCCGAGCCTTAGCTCGCTCACTCAGTCCTAAGTTAACCTTCACGAGAAAGTATGTAAACACGGAAGCATGGAAACAAGCCATGCAAACATGAAGACAATCTCAGCCCCCTTCTGAAGCCCTCGAGTATCAGATGTGACTTGGCGTTCTCAAGGCCTACCCGACAATTACTCGACTCTCACTTAACCAAAAGCCTATATGGCTCCAAAGTACTATAGGCCTAAGCGGAACACCATCCTAAAAGCAAGTAGCAAATCCTCAATCTTCTAACCTCTTGCAAGTGGCAAATTCTCTATTCAGGTGCGGAGGGCAGAAGCAACTAATGGACTGGCTCCGCAGGAAACCCCTAAAACCAGACCTCAACTTCCCGAACCAATCCTATATTATGAGACCTCAACTTTATGAATTTCAGATTTTGTGGCGAAAAGTACACTTCTCGCAATCTCAGCGTTTAAATCTCAAAGGTGCCTGCCCAGGTAGCCAGCCCATGACGATGCCACTTGCCCTCAAGCTTCAAAAAAACACGTTTACGTCTTGGCGGTTTACGGCTTGTAAGGTGAAGGTTCTTATTGGGAGAGGCTCCAGGTCGTGGAGTTCTATTGGAGTGTTGAGGTAATGTTTTGGCATTCTTCTAGAGGGATTCCAAGTAATTATGAAGGTTACAGTCGTCACGTCTCCCCCGTAGCTTGGAAGCTAAACTATAGCCGGGTTTTGCAGCTTGTGGGTTTGGGATCTAATTAGGGTACAGCAATGGTAGCAGCAAAGCTAACAGGTTTTCACGGCAGGAGCAGGAGCAGGAGCAGCGGCAGAATCTCTAGTAGTACACTATGTGAACTTTCCATCCGACTATGCGTTGGGTTTGTTGTGACTCGCATGCTAGGATCAACATTGCAGTCACAAGAAAGGAGGTAAGTAGGTTGCAGGGTCCAGGGACATTACCCCCCCAAAACCCTCCGCGCGAGTCCGCCAGTGCGCTCAAAAGCATGCAAGACAAAATCACAAGAAGAGGTGCAGGTGCTTCTTCAAAAGCAGGCCGGACATGGCCTTCTAAGATCTGCTGGGTTTGATAAATCCCCAAGGCGAAGCCTCATCCTGCTTCCATGAAATCCGATGATAATCGATATAAGCCAAATCTGATAGACTCTTTTGAACCTCAGAAGTCTGGAATGGAAGTAGTCAACATGTCAGTCCCCACTGCAGCAGACATTAAAAAAAAGAGTTTGTCACAGCATCTTTGGGACCCTGATACCCGCCTTAAACTGGGGCTTTTGAATGCAGGATTGCTTGCGACTCAATGTGAGACAAACATCCCAGGCACTAGGCCCGGAGGAGCGTGGGCAAACCCAGTCAGGAACTGTATCAGTGAGGGCAGTGCTGTACTTAGGCGACCTGCAACCAAATTGAGTACAGCTACGGACTTCTTGCAAGTCTATTTTTTTCCTGCAAGAGGTCTTATTCCTGTAACTGTTATACTTCTGTAAATCAATGACTGTAGGGCTTCGAACTGTTTTATCAAGGGATAGTTCAGGGTGCTGGCATTCAAAGCAAGATTGAAGACGTCGCGAGCTTCATTGAGTGAGGGGATCAAGGTTCCTGTCTCTTTGAACAAAAGCCACATCTCATTTAGAACAAACTCCAGCTACGACCAGTCTGCAAGGCCTCCCTGGCTTCGCGTTCGCAGTTAGCGTGCAATTGCTCCAACAATCTCACGTTCTCGTGCTATGGGAGTTGAAGGATCCTCCCGGCAGATTTCATAAAAGCGAAATCCAAAAAGCGAAACTGTCCTGGGTAAAAATGCGCTATAACTATGCACGCCCCCAATTTCGAATAGGTACTTACGGCCGGTGGCTTGGTCTTGCATCCACTCCACTGGAAGCTTTACTCGAACAATGAGACTTGCTTGACTCTACTCCTTCAACCCTACAACCCGACAATCTACCAAGTAAAGCGTATGATCCTTGTACCAAACGCATATGCAACCCCAATTCCCATTTCAATTTCCAATTGCCTTTCCATGTTCAGGCCTCAATCCATAAGAATCGTCAACTTTGCCTGCCTACCATCAGACTTGATAAAACAAACAATGGCAAAGCGGCAACAACCTGGGCGTGTCGTGGTACCGCGGCCTAAGGCCTCTTCAGTCTATGCCCCACATTTGTGGTATCGGGTTTGGGTGCTCAAGGCCTAAAATTTGGGGTCCGGGACTTAATTAAAGCTCAGGATGCGGTACATGTCTCAAGCCTCAAGCCTAGCCCAAATGGTCCCAAGTACAAAATAAAGTTGGAGATCCCACGCAAGATTCCAAAGGACAAATTACTGTGAGTGGAGGAAATCTAGTGCTACATATTAAGTGGCGATGGGACTCTGATTCTGAACCTTCTGATGGACGAGATGAACCTCGAGTTTTGAGCTTCGAGCTAGGGATTGAGGAATGAGAGCATATTCAAGCGGCACCGCAGAACATCAGAGAACACATTCGATCCTCGAAGCTGAAGACTGAACCGTCTCCGATGTGGAGCGCATTTCTTAGACTCATCTGCATGGCTGGAAACACAAAAACCCTCAACCCCTCATTCACTTGCTGAACCTTCAACAAAATGGAATCAGATCTTACGATAATCGCACAGCTTGGAGATCCAACAAATGGCACGATTTGGCAATTGAGTAGGGGCGTAGGGGCGCTTGGATGGTGCGAACAACTTTGATACCTGGAAAACGCCCATATAGTGTTGCTGTACTTTATCTAGTGTGAAGATGTTCTGGGTAAGCCGTACCAGTCTCCCTTGTGCCCTGTAAGAAATGGTGGAAGGATGTAGGGGCTAGATACAAGGTTTCCCTCGAGCACATTCAACCCTAAGCTTTGCTGACGACTCCTTAACCTTCGCACTACACAATGCGTGTCACATCAGCTCAGTCCAAGACCTTGTTGACTGTCGTAGATGCGGTAACAACCCAGAAGAAGCTGCTCTTGCGCATATACGCAACTGCCCAAAATCTGAAGCACACACCCAGCAAACCTGAAGCGCTTAAATTTTGCTATGTATCTATATGTGTATCCATATACACACGCGTATATATATATATATACACATATATATAGAGATAGAGATAGATAGATGGACATGCGTGAATCTGGCAAATGAAAAGGAAGTGAAGCCACACTTGAAGTCCCAGGCCTGGTTGTAGGAGCGAGCCAAGCGTCTCATCGTCCTGCACCTTGGAAGTTTGGGGATTCAAGGATTTTGGATCTGTGCCACCCCGGCTACCTATTGTTCTACGCACCTTCCAATACGGAGCAATAACTACTAATCTGTGGGCAAGTAAACTTGCAGGAAGGGGTGTGTGGGTGTATGCCCTGCTTGCGGCTTGCGGGCATGAGCATTGGATTTGGGATTTTGTAATTAGGTCGCATCGTCAACCCTTCTCTGCCGCACGTTTTGCTTTATGCGGTGCAGGAACTCATGGTAGCAGCTCTCAAGCGCATAGCGGGGCTTTACTGCCCACTTTTTCAATCTCTGGGAGAGCACTCCTTTTCCAGCCTGCGTCAGAATCGAACTAGGCTTAGTGGTGGCCAGCATGCGCACTGCCAAATTTCATCAAATTTCCGTGCAATGCAATGTTTATCCCGTAAACTCCTCCACACTTTGACACCTCAGCGCCTAGCTCTTGGAGCCCCAGCTGCGCTTTCGGCCCGCCTAGAAGCAGCCTTTGCGGCCTTGACGCGCTTGGAGAGTTGTCATATTCTGGCAAACGACTTCTATATAATACCGTGCTAGCATGCTACAGTATACTATAGCTGTTTTGAATGCTATACTAGAAAACCTGGATACAGTGCGCTTGCTAGACTTTCGCTATAGGGCTGTCTAAAAGCTGAAAATTCCAAATGCCTATTACTGGAGAGAAAAGGTTCAGGATCTTAGTGCCTATGCAGGATTTAGGGCTTCAGGGAACTGCAGGGTTTATGGATCTTATAGAAATCCCCTAGAGATTAAGGGCCTGAACAGCACACAGCGGCTGGTGCGCACCGAGAATGAGCGAGGGTGCAGGATTTATCAAGTTCAAGGTTGGCAGCACCACAGCGCTTAGGTTAATTCCTGAGCCCAAAGAACCCAGGGTGGAACCTTGTGTAACACCCAAGCAGCCGTCTCAGGACACAGCTACCACATATGAGCACAGGCTAGATTGACACAGTTGAAAGTTTAAAGCCTTGCACAGCCAGAGTTACATGAGCTATCCACAGGACATGACTGTATGAGCCCTTCCGCCTCCCCAGAGGCTAAGGCCTACACCCTGAAGTCCAAGCCCTTGACACCTGATTAATTTCTCTGTAAACCCTATACCCTAGCCATATGCCTATACAGTAAGTATGATTCCTAAACGATGCGTTAGTCAATGGGCCTTGTTGCGTCCCATGGCCTGAAGGAGGAACTAAAAGGGCGCGGTCGCGTGGAGGCTCGGCTGCCCAGATTTCCGATCTCGACTTGTGCATAAAGCATGAGATCGAGGACTCTTGGATGTTTACTTGAAGTCTCAGGTATAACAGTTCAGGGCTGCTGGTAAGACTGGCTTTACGTGTATGTAGTTTCATAGCTCTGGTGGGGCTGTCAGGGTCAGGGCTGTAATGGATCGAGAAGACGGGCATTTCTCATCATAACGCTCCCTGCAGGGACAAACCATGCTGGTACAACCGCATCCAAGAGCCCGTGGTTGTTTGTTTGGTTGGGTGGTGGGTTCAAGGCTTCAACTTGCAGGTTCGGGCAGCTGAGGTGAGCTGTCAAACAAACCTGCTCCTCCGATCATGAAGGTAGCTGCTGCGGTGGTGGTGGTGGTGGTGGTGGTGGTGGTGGTGGTGGTGGTGGTGGTGGTCAGTGTTCTTGTCGCAGAGGAGCAGGCTTAATGCCACTGTTCCACAGGAGGTTGCGTCAAACGGCAGCGGTGAGCAAACACGTACAAGAAGTCGAGGATCATCAAACACGAAAGCTCAAAATTCTATGCTGGCCTACCCCGAAGCCGTATGCGCATTCATCTTGAAAGCTGATTTCCAGAACTTCGGCCACTGCGTTCTAAGCCTAATTTGCAATAGAGCCCTAGCTGAGAAAGATAGCCCTGCCAGCCACCTAGGATCTCTGCGAAGGATCATTAAAATCTCCGAACCTGCACATCCTGCACGTCCTACAGAGATCAAGGTGTCATCATCTGCAATGCAGCGCGCCGGAGTTTGGGCTTGCAGATTTCACCGACTCCACCGAGCTACCAGAATTCCTAGATGGATTCGTCAATCCCTGCGATATGAGATTTCAAGATGGCATTAACAAGTGTCGTTCCCGTTCCCACATATCGAGGCTCGCAGCGGTTGGTAAAGAAGTTGCGTGGAAGGGTAAAATGGTAGTAAAGATCTCTGCCAAGAAGACGGAAGGGGTCGCAACAGCTGAGATATCGAATGAGCGAATTCCAAAATGGAATTGGCCGCTGCCATGCCCGCATCTCAATGAATGATTAGTGTTCCGTAAACTATTGTTCATCAGTTGCTTCTGGCCAACCCATAACATATGTATACATACATACATACATACATACATACATATATATATATATGTATACATATAAATATATAAATATATATATATATATCATGTGTATGTATATATATATACATACATGTGATATAATCCTCGAAGCAATTCCCTGGGCGCAGTGCGGGCAAGCCTTCATTTCAGGAAACACAGCGATACCCTATCATAAGCAAGTAGCATCAAGGAGAGCCGCAGTTTGGAGAAGGCGGCCGAACACTTTGCCCATGTGACAGGACCTGATGCTCTTTCAGCCACTCGGCGCAGATGAATAGGGCCTCCTTGACTTTGTCAAGCATGTCTAGCTCTGTCAGACTTGCCGTCAAAGAGTCGCACCTGCATCCTGATAGGCCAATGCGACATCTGAAATTTACTACCAGGGCGTTACGCAAACAATGAACTCTGTGGAGAGAGCACCTAGTTCATGTTGTACCCAGTTTTGCAGGGGGCTCCGGATTTATGCAAAACTTGAAGGGAATCATTGCGAATATGTCGCCGATTGGGGCTCCATTGCAATGCCAAGTTCTGGGGCGCTGAACTCCCCACCCAACATGGGATGCCCTGGCCAAATTCAGTGGACATGGCAGAACAAGCTCAAAGCGTTTGAGACCGTCGCAAAAAAGCACACATCCTCCTACGACGGTCACCCTGAGTCTCCTGCGTGCTGCTTACTCAGAGTTTAAGCTCAAACCGATAGATTGCTCGTAGCAGCGTCCAGGCAGAAGCTCAGCACGACTACGCCATGCAGCCGGACATCTCCTTCACTCACGAGGTACTTGAAATGCCAACGGAAAGAAACTAGCTAGACGCCTACCATGGCTTGGTCTGTGGACTCCGCTGGATAAATTAACGTAAGTGTATCAAGTGTATCCTCTAGTTAGGCCCAGAACCAGCCGTAATTCATCAGGATAGGGTGCTGCAAGTGGGAGTAGCAAACAGCATTGTACGACTCAATCCCTTGCACGAATGAGCATCTGTTGCTCAGGGCCTGATCGCTAAGGGGACAAGGGCCATGACCACCCCAGAACCTACAGTACCAATCCACTAGCATTTCATGTACTGTAGCGATGGAGAGATCCAAATTCTCGCAGCAGCTACCTGCTACGATTCTATGTCTCGGCTTCAACTCAAAAGAATTGGGCTGAATACCTCCTCTGACACCACAATCCAAGCAGGATCCATCTTCAGCTTGAGAACATGCAGGAGCCCTCTTCGACAATGATCGATTTGTTGTGATTAGGGCTGTGTGTGGACAATGGTTGCTTGTTCTTGCGCCGAAGCATAGCTGGATTTCTGATCAAAGGTAACAAGCTGCAGCTGCAGTCAGCCGTCGCCTTACCTCGAAAGCCCTGGAACATGATTGACTGCCAGAGATGTCAGGGCAATCAGTTGCAGCAGCACTGACCTCGTGTGACGAAGTTGTAAAGGTAATAGAGGGGTCCTGGAACCAGGGGGTCTGGGTGAGGAATCTCGGGAGGATGTGAGCTCAAGACTTAGAGGCCGGGCTGAACTGAAGCCGGCTGTGAGGTCTGTGCCGACGTCTCTGAGACGTCGGAGAGATCATCGCCGGCGTTTGATTTGGAACTGTCTCAAACGTCTGATGATTTGTAGGCTTCTCGGAATACTGCATTCCAGAAAGAAGGGGCACTCTGTTCTCTGGGGTGTATAACAGACTCCAGAATCTTTTGAGACCAATCCACTGCAAAGAATTGGCTACCTGGACCTTCTCGGCCAGGGAGCTACTGCGTGCTCTTAGCAACTCGCTTGTTGCAGTTGCTTTCCCTCCTCAGCGAAGTCTTCTTCTTGGTAGCAGACGCTCCCTCACCCCCGGAAGCGCCAGCCAGCCTGAGCTGAAGGAGGGTCATGGTCCCCGAGGTGTACTTCGTAAGCCGATGAGAACCTGGCTTAGCTATGCTTACAAATTAGGATACATGTGACATGGGACCAGAAGCTGATCTCCAACCCTAAGATCGTGTAGGTGGGTCGAGGTCCAGAGCTGCAATCACGGCCCGCCTTGTTGAGACTTCCTAACCCATAGACAAATAATTACATCTATATACACATGCATATGTGTATATATATATGATATATATATATATGTATATGAGTGGCTGTTGCTGAGTCATATCCAAGGTGTTAATTGGAAATAAGGGATGGAGACATTGAGCATTGAGTTGGGCGGCCCCGCAAGGCCGCCGCCAAAGCAAGGGTTGCATTAAATCTCCTGTTTTTCAGATGTGTCAAGAAAGTATCTGTGTGGGCAGGATGCCTGTCCAGATGCCCAAACAGTGGGTACTCACCAAAAGCTCTGCATCCTCACCTGCAGTGAAACCCAGAACTCAAACTTGAGGGGTCCTAGGACATGGAGATGCGCCAGTCTTCCATATTGTAGGTCCATCCCAAGCTCTGTCATCCAGCACACTAGCTCAACCTGATGCCCAGTGGAAGAATTTGGGAGTGTGCACGTGGCGGCGCTCCTTTTTGTCCGTTTGGCCAACACCTTGAGGTGCGCCTAGCACGGTGGATGAGGTGGATGTGTGCTGGAATCTGGCGTAGCATCCCAAAACCCTATCTAGTTCAATATAACCCCTATAATCCCTATGCAAACCCCAAAAATCCCCATATAATGCTGCGCTGTTGTTGGGCAAGTGCAGACCCTAGCCCCGTCCCAGCAAGTCATACGAAAAGCGAACATGAAGGGAGAGGCCTCTCTTCCAGCACACGCACCCAAGTAAGGAGTTTTTGTTGCGAGATAAGACCGGATATGGCTCCTAACCTGGGAAACTTTAAGTCTAGGCAGGGTTCATCTAAGCGTAGCCTCTTGCTTCAGTTTCTATGGGGGACTTGGCATCCGTATGCGAATCACTGATCAAAAGACTTTGCGGGGCCACTGGCTCTGGTTCCAGGGCCCAAGATCTTCGGAAGCCTCCAGAAACACGTAAAGCACAAGCGGAAAGCGACTTCGTAGAGTTCACAACTCCCACCCAGCAGCTTAACAGTCATGCCGCCATATCTCCATACACGGAAACATACATATCGTATTAGCCGCAGCATGCCTGGAACTCCAAATGAAGTGGCGTTGATGACCCCCAATCCCACCCAAAAAATCCAAACGCTACCTGCGCTTGCGCCACAGAGGCTTCGTGAGAGATGTCTCTGCCGGACTTGATCTAGTCTCCAGTGCTTTTTCTTGAATAAGTTCTGTATGCAAACCATTCGGGCCTAAAGATTTTAAGTTTCTGACAGAGAAACAAGGACACCAACGCCTCCAAACTTTGCAAGGGACTACATGCTCACATGCCACTCCTGAAACTTCTCCTGAGCCCGATGCCAGTGACTCAACGCTCCAAAATCTTCTCAACCACAGATTCCATGACAAGTTAGCCCCACTAAGCCTAAATCCGACATAGGAAAATCAAAGCCCAATATCATCTTCTCTTCAAGTCCGGAAAACCTGTGCAGTGCGAGTGGCCGTTGCACCGCAGAAGGCAACACTAAAGTCTATATAAGGGTCTTTAGGCCAGTTAAGTCATGGATGGGGAACTGTTCATGAGAAATTCAATATTGACCTCACGCAGGCTGGCGAGAAGGCGACATTGAGTTCCTTTCGCAGGTGATTCCAGATTGAGGACATGATTTGAGATTGAGGATATGATTTGACTCTAAACGAAGCTCCTCGTTTCAATTGCTTTTCCATTGGGCTTGTCATTGTATCCAGGGCCTGCTTGTGCAACGCCCTTCCTAGAAAACTGTTTGTGGCGAAGATGTGTTCGAGTCTTTCGGGGCCTACAGTTGCACAGGTTCTGATTCTGACCAAACACACGTACCACTGGGTCATCCCAA